GGATGTGATAAAAGTTCGTGTGATCTGTCCTAGATTTTATCCTTTATTTACCTTTGAGAGAAAAAGCTGATGCACAGCGGATTCCTTGACATAAATGTGAGGCGTCCAGTGAAGTCCTGGATTTCCCCATGATAATTATTTCTATGCTTAAAAATATTAAACATCAAGATTTTTAAAAAGTATTTTCTGGGGCTCTGCTTTCTTGGTGCCTGGAGGAGTCTCGGTGCTCTGGCTGGTTTCCGGGGGACCGACTGAGGATGGCTGGGGCCCCCGTGCAGCATGGCCTGGAGGCCGTGGGGTCTCAGCTTCTAGAGCAGGAGGACCGGAGCCCATCTCCCACAGCCTGGCCCTTGTGGGAACACTGGTGGCATCTCCCTATAACCAGAGGCAGACCAGACAATCTCTCTCCTCCAATTCAAATAGGATTGCTTCTGAGGTTCAGTTTGAGGCGTGACTCAGGAGATGTGATTAGAACAGAAAATAAGTGAGAACGGTATCAAAAAAAAGTAAAGAAAATGAATCTTTTTTTGGATCTCAGTAAAGCTCAATGCTTTAAAAAAGGCAGAGGTGCAGAGCGCACTGGCTTTAGAGACAGATGATGGGGGCTGCCGTGTGGGCTCAGTGACCCCTCATTTTTAAATGCTAAACTCCCTCCAGTCCAAGAATCCATTGATTAAAACCATTAGCAATTTAATGAGAGCTTTTGGGGGATGGATACAACTGTCTGAATCGATACCATTGGTTCATATTGATTGAAAATGTGTTTTAAAATGAAAGAAATATAGTGCTTAAGGGATTTCATTCCTTATCTGTTAGAATATGGGTATATTTGTATAATAGTATCTAGTTTGTTAAAAATATGAGAACACTAACACCTGCTTCTTGGGTTGTTGTGACGACTAAATGGGATAAGACCTTGCACGGTGCTGGCGTGGTTTCTGCACACGGTAAGTACTGAGTGACTGACAGCAGGGACTGGGAGCAGAGGACCTCTTCGTGGTGAACAAATGGAGTCTTTATAACCTCATGAACCAAATTCAGTATTCACTCAGCACGTATTGGGTATCTGCTCTATTCTGGGTACCTAGGTATTACAAATACTTACATTTATGATAGTGAATAGTGAATTCTACTTTCCTTATGCTTGGAAGTTATTTGATAGCTCATTGTGGGGGAACTTAATACCTACCAGATCCCAAATACTCAGTAACATGTGTATTTAAAATCAGGGCGGTCTATAAAGATTGATGAGATTTTATTTTCAAAATAACTATCCTGATTTTACTAATGTGATTTTATTTCTTTTTTTTTTGGCAGGATCTAGTTATCAAAGTGAAATAAGGTAAGTTTGAGATCACGTCAGTTTCCTAAATATAAGAAGAAACAAATGAAAACCAGCCAACACACCTACACACAAACACACACACACACACAAACAGCTGTGGGATTTTAGGATTATGTTACTCAAAATTAAGTACTGAAAACGAACAACTCTGACAAACACATATTCCAATCACAAACTCATAGGGCAACATTAATTGTGGAATAAAGTAGGTAGGTTCCTGCTGCCTAAGTTTGACTTGTGCACTTTGGAAAGTGGAGCCAACTTTTACTTGGCATCTGGCATTTGCAGCTCTTTCCACAAGAGGACGCTGTGCACCATGACTCTTGGCCCTCCTGCTTTGTGTCAAGGCTAGGGATGTGAGGACCGTTTCAAGGATGCTAAAGAACCAGGCAGAGGTCCTGCTGGAATTTCTGGGTGGTAGAGACCTTGGGGCCTGCTGGGTGGCTTTGGGCAATGGAACTGAGCAGGTGGACAGATTAGGAGTGGTCACTGCTTGTATCACCCAGTGGGGAGGGCGGGAAAACTCCTGCCATTCTCACGGTTGCCTGGAAGTAGCTGCAAACACTTTTAAGGTAACTGTGTCAAGGACTACAATAATCAATTTAAATGTCTGCAATAATTATAAATAATTATAATTATAAATGCATGCAGGGGAGGGATTTTTAGGCAGCAATGGTTTAGTTGGGGGGTGTTAAAACAAAACCACATCTAGCTTTCAGTATTTTATTAGATAATTTAGATTTTTTAAATGCTGTAGTTTAAAACATCTTCCAGCTACATGTGGGGAATAAAGATTACATATAATCATCATGTAACAGACTGTTGACTGTGTAACATTTTTCATTTCTTCTTACAACAATTTTATATATTTTTTGGAGGGGAGGTAATTAGGTTTATTTATTTATTCTTAGAGGGGGTGCTGGGGATTGAACGCAGGACTTCGTGCATACTAAGCATACACTCTAGCGCTCGAGTTATACCCTCCCCGCCACATTTCTCATTTCTATTCTCTGGAATCTTGGGTGATTTCAAAACCTAGTGCAGTAACCTACAACTGTTTGGGGAAATGGGTAGAGAATAATAATAATGCAACGTCATCATGACGGGGGGGTGACAGTAAGACCTGATATATCCTGAGTGTCAGCACGTGTGCCAGGCACTGGTCTACACTGAGTAGAGGTCATCTTGCTGCTCACAATGATTTTATGAGGCTACATTCCCTTTCTGTGGCTGAGGAAGCGGAGGGGCACAGAGAGGTGAAGTGATGTGCCCGGAGACTCCGGAGCCCGCATGCTCAGGGCTTAGCCGCCCTCCGCCTGCAGCCTGGCCCTTAGATCCAAGTGCTCCAGGCCCAGGGAAGAAAGACGGGGCCGCTCCCTGGGGCCCCCGTATTTACCTGCTTTCCCCGCCCACTGTGTCAGCAGGGCTAACCTCGGTTGCTCACAGATTTCTTCTGTGTTAAAAGAACATCTGTATTTTTCCCCATAGAATCAATGCATGTTTATTTTAGAAAAAATACAGATAGGTGTAAGCAATGGCTTTAAAATTACCCCTCATTCTGTTGCCCAGAAATAATTACTGTTAAGTATCTACACACCTACACACGTGTGTTCACAGACACACACACATGCATTTTGTGAAATTTAGATCATAATAAATGCCATTTTATATGTTCCTCCTCTCATTTGACACTATTCTGAAGATAATTTCTGTTGACAAATACTTGCCTGTAATGTTCTCATTTCATTTGCTTGATAAAGTCTTTTTACTGAAATATAAGTGTACACACATCATAGGTGTGTGGCTTGATGAATGTTCACAAAGCATGTGCACCTGCGCCTGGTCTGCAGATGTGCAGAACCAACACCCCAGCACCCCCACCTCTGCTCGGGCCCCCATCAGATCATCTCCTGCCCCCTCTGCAGAGGTCACGTCTAATGACACCCACCCCCACATCCCCAGAGGTTAGAGTCACGTGAACTTGATATAAATGGAGGCATGTCCTGCTTCCTCATTCACGCCTGCCTTCTTGAGCTTCACGTGTGAGATGGAGCTACACTGTTGACGTAGCTGGTTTATTATTGCATAATCCCAGGTTCAGGGCGTGGACGCAATTTATTTTCCCATTTTACTTTCTAAGGGCATTTCGGGCCACGATGAACACTGCTGCATGAAGCAATCTAGTCCTTGTCTTTGGTGACATGTCTGCCAGCACTCACTCCTGCTCTGTATCCTGTTGGGTGTAACCAGTTAGTGAAAGACGGGCCACGGGGTAGGGACGTGGTCAGCTCTAGGTGAGGCCGTCATGCAGTTTTCAAAGCAGGTGTAGCAGTTACACTTCTACCCGCAGCATATGAGACTTCTCATCTATAATAATTTTCACAGTTGGCATGGAATTCCATTTCAGGGATGTCTCAGCATTTATTTCACAAGTCCCCTGTGGCTGGGCACCTGGCCTGTTTGCAATTTTTGTAACATAAATAGCTCATGAATGAATCTTCTCCAGTAAATCTTTGCACATATCCTTGCTTATTTCTGTTGCTTATTATAATCAGTTCTTAGTAGTCAAATAAATATTTTAGATCTTTGGAAATCCATTGCCAAACTTCCTTCCCCTGGGAAGCTGCCATTTTTGCTTTATTTCAGGGGTTGGTATCCTTTTCTCTATAAAGGGGCAGATAGTAAATATTTTTGGTTTTTCAGGCCACGTGCCCTCTGTCCCAGCTCAACTCTGCTGCTCTAATAGGAAAGCGACCATAGACAAGATGGAAGCAGACAGGTTCCAATAAAACTTTATTTACAAAAACAAATGGTGGGCCAGATCTGTGGGTCATAGCTGGCCAACCCTGCTCTATATGGTCACTGGTTTCTGAGAGCTGAGTACCGCCTGGGGACTGGACGCCATGCGCCTGTCATGATAAAATTCCATCTCTCCCCGCAGTGGGAGTGTGTGAGCAGACAAGCCGTCTACACAGCCGTGGTGGGGGTGCTGTTAGGGTCCAGCCTGACGCTGGCCACCCACCAGAGGCCAGCACCCGAGCTTCCACCTTGGGGAAAGTCCACCGTGGGAGAATGCTCTGGGTGGAGCAGGGTGACCAGGACATCTGTCGCTGATTAACATTTGGTTTTTTAAAATGGTCTAATTCTAGGAAATCTGCAAATGTGAAGACAAATAAAGAAACTTTTGAGACAAAGTTAAAAAGCGGAAATGAAAACTATGGCTACAGCTCCGATGAGCCGGGCACTGCAAGTGAGCAGGGATCGGGGCGGGGAGTGCGGGCGGGGGGCGGGGGGCAGAAAGACCTGGAAGGGCGCGTGTCGGGGGAGGGGCTGGCTCACCACACACCGGCTTCTCAGGGCAGCTGCCTTGCTTAGCTGTGGCTGGTCATTATTTGGGGGTAATTCTTAGAAGAAGGAGAAATTCCAAAACTAGGAACACTCTAGGAGAAGGTAACAGTAAAAAATCTACCTATCTGCCTGGCGTTTAAAAGAAAGTGAGGTGGAAATCTAAGAGTTTTAAAAATAATGTTCCATTTTTTGGTTTTTTTCATGCTTTTTCTTTAAAGGCGTCTACCTTAAAGTGTGTGAGGAGGACTTTTAATACATTTGAGGGCAATGTCCCCCAAACATCAGTGAAAATAGAAACTCAGCAAGAAATCTTTTCCTCTTCGACTTTACAGGCTGTTGGAGGATTCTGGAACCCTAAGCCCGGCCTGGAAGCTTTTTTGTGGCACCTGAGTGTCTTACCTTTAGATGAT